TCACTAATTCAGTGTGCAGCGTGTTCGGTGTGCTCACTAATTCAGTGTGCAGCGTGTTCGGTGTGCTCACTAATTCAGTGGAGTTCTGCATGACAACTTTCCAGAATGACAGTGTGATTGTTTGCACAGCATATTCATGGGAAAAGAATAAACATAAAGACACTGAATCATAAAGACACTGAAGAAAGACTGATGACTTGATACATGCTAAAAGCAGTTGATTCCACAATTGCAAAAGTCTGGTATAGTAAGTCACACACAGGAAAATTGGGACATAAATCTGCTGTTTCAAATCTTCGTGGCAAACTGAACAATGAATTGTTTCAAGGAACTCTTTCACAGAGGTACTCAACAAAGGGAAAGTGTTATTCCAGTTGGAGGGTAGTCCATGTAAAAAGACATTTTTGCTTTCACCTCAGTAAAACCCAGTATGAGGTTGTGTTTCTCAATCAGAAAAAAATAGTTTAAGGAAGTATCCACTTTGTCTGAGGCACGTAACTGTTGCAGACTCCACAGGAAAGATGGAAAACTGTGGTAAACTGTAAATCTCAAATTTCACAGTGTATTAAATGTGCACTTCCTCTGGGAAATGTAGGATGGGTTTTTATTTTCTGGAGGGGGCATGGACAATTTTAACTGTGCGACAATTATATTCAGTTATGGTTTTCACCATTTAGCATGTTAAGGTCTGACAGCATTGCTCCTATCCTGAAATTTGATGGGTACAGTGCTGACTACATACAGTCTGACTGAATACAGTCAGGAATTCACAGGAACAATTTGCAGTGACCATGTCAGTATACAGATGTCATCCAGTGAAATTCACCACTGTTGTTAAAATTGATTGTAGGGTGATGAATCCACTTATAATATTTATTATCATCAGCATTAGTACTATTAAATACTATTGTATTGTTTAAAAAATGACAAGTTTAAAAGTTAGTTGCTGTTGTTACCAGATTTGATATTTGACCTTCTTTTGGAGAAACAGATACATAATCAGGTGCAGCTTCATCGATAATTAGGTCAGGCTGCATCACAGATTCCACTTTACATCATTAATTGGCCATTTACATGCAACAGCTGTATCTGCTTAACAGACCAGAGTTGTGGTGAATAAACAATTGAACAATTATTCGGCTTTTTGTAATATGTTTTCTTCTGTCCTCATGGTTGTTTTTTAAAGACCTCTGACCCATTAATTGTAAACATATCATGTGCTTATAGTTTATTAATCTCATGAAGCAAAGACGGCACACATTCTGTTGATTTAAACATTCTTTGCATGCACTCAGGATCCATGAGGCTTTCAGTTTAAGGAGCTCTTTGCATAAAGGTCAGGCAGAATAATCTATATTTTATGGGATGCTTCAAAGAGAGCTTGAGGAGAATCTGGGGTTTATCTTTCTTAAACTAAATCCAGAATCGTAGTTAGACTTTCTGGGTTCTCCCTAAGTTCTTCTTCTCTCTGTTCCTCTACTTCAGCTGAGTGGAATGCATATAAGTATCGAATTAAGAGTGGTCGTCTAAACCTGGCTAATAAGAGAGAGAATCAGTTCATTTGTGTTAATTTTAGTTTGTGGAAGCCGTGCCATTTCAGTACCCGGCAGGCAGTAAGGAGCTGGCAGTCATGTGAGATAAATACCTCTCTGACTGTCTCGCTCGCTGCCTTTTAAGGAAGCACTGACACTGCATTGGATTCCCCAAATAAGGTCAAAAATTCAAAAAGTAATTTAATATTTCCAACTGACTCTCAGTAAACTGAATTCTTCACTTGCTTAAGAACAGCCTTAATTAAAGCAACAGTCTCTGTGTAGCGTTGCAGACTTCTGTCATGAATGATTACAAATGCTAAACACGCAAACACAAATATCAAGGCTACTGACTTGGTTTAGTTAGCTGTTACCGGACCGGCAGTATCTTACTCCATTGCTATAATCCACAATTCATAATCTCAGTACTATTAACTCTGACGGTGGCTCATCTGAAAAATAAGACTGTGGTCTCTCAGATCTAAACTGATGTGTGGGTTGTTCATGTTTTGAAAGACATTCGTCTGGCTAACAGCAGGGTTTTCAGAATAATAAATAAAACTCGTCTTCTGAGAAATCCTGCAACTGACAATCATGACGTGACAAAAAAGCTGGGAGAACTGAGCCATAAAGTCTTCTGTCCGTTTTTGAGGATGTCGCTGTTTTTTCAGTAAACATGGCTGCTCATTCAAACCTCCCTCCTTCTCCAGACAATGGCCTGACCAGTGTTTGCCTTGCAGCCGGTCCACCATGATCGAGAAGCTGGAAGCGCTGGAGCTGGAGAACGCGGAGAGGATGGAGGTGGAGGAGGAATCGGGCCGCAGCGCAGCCAGGCAGGGCAGGAGTGAGACCAGGCGGTGCCCAAGAGAGGTGAGAGCTCTGAATTGAGGCAGAACCCCAGAGTCAGTACTGCTTTATCCTATATCATCTAACCGCAGAAAATACAGTAACGCTTAAGCAGTTATAGACCGTGAGGTACTTGATTTAAGATACTGAAAGTTTACTTTCCTTTAAGATTTAGTTCCTGACGATGTTCCTTTTGGTCATATTGTCAAGAAAAGACATTGTAAATCCGTTCGTGCTGCACACAGCTAGGGCGCATGGCTTCTGCTTGTTTTCTTCCTCATTTTCAAACTGGGAGTCGTAATGTGGACTTGAGCACCAAACAGAGGTTTGATGTTTAGAACAGCAGAATGCGTTAAAAATGAAAAACAAAAGTTACGCTTTTCTTCCTTTATACGATAACGTTATTGCAAAGATCTCCCACCCTGTACCAGATCAGTAACGGAAATGTGTTCCTGGTATTTCTGAAGTGGTAGCTTAGAATGACCTGCAAGAGTTTCTGGACTGGCATTCACCAGAACTGGAGTGGGAAGAAGAGAAGAGAAAGACAAGGGAAGCACTAAGACATTCTGTGAATTTTTACTCTTTGGAAAAAGTCTGCCAGTATGAGCATACATAAGGTGGAACCAATTTCAACAACAAACTTCTGGAGGACTGGGCTCCAGTTCTGGGTGCCTGATTCCTATAGGAAGGCAGCTCAGCAGTGTAGGTGTGTGATATGTGGAAGACAGGCCTGATAACTGGTGCTGCCAGTGAAACGGGCAATCTTATCGACCACACAAGGGTGAGAGGAATCTGCTTATTAGGCAAACAGCCTCAGTGGCAGTACTGACCAACAGTCTTAAGTCTGGAAGTGGTCCTTGAGGTAGTTTATGGCCTTGAAGCCAGCAATTCAGGTCATTTTATTTTATTTCATCTGAACTCAGTTGATCAAGTTTTTGCCAGCCGCTGCCCCATCAATTTCTCCTCGTTCCATCCTCACCCTCAGGGGCGGGTCTGCTGAAGGGGGTCCTAACATTCTCCCCAGTCATGTATCCGAACCTCTAGACTGTCTTTAAACCTAGACTGTGACACAGAATGAACTCCTCTTGCTGCCCTTCATTTCCTCTTGACCTTGATTTATGAAGGACACAATCTTCTTTTGCTCAGGGAAGAAATACTTGTTCTTGAGTGTTCACCCATAGACCATTTTCACCAGAATGTGGTGGATTTACTATTGGCAGTTACAGATTTTAAGCATCTGAAACAAGGTGATGAAATAGTTTACTAAGTCAAATAACCATGTACAGTAGTATTTGTTGAACTGTGCTTATTTGTCAAGGAAACAACAGTCAAACATGTTTTAGCCCTCCTTGTGAAACAGGTGGTTCCTTTGTTTTTGCATAATGCCTTCAAAGGAACTCCACTGTCTTTTTGTTCCATCCTCCTGTTTCCAATCTATGGTTGGCATCAAATATAACAGTGCAATAAACAAGACCCTCTGAAAAAAAAATTGATGTGCGTTGAAGCACATTAAACTGTTTTGTTATAAAATGGTCTGGGATTCTCAATTCTGAGATTGCAGACAAAGGTAATTACACACAGCTTACCAGCGTACATATAATGCCTGTGTTCATGGGCACTTTTTCTTTTCTTGTAATTCCAAGGTTGTTTTTGAATTAGACATTTAAATGGAATGGTTTACATAATCGCTACTTGAATTAATAAAACACTTGAGCCATCAGGCAGTTGTAGGTCCAAGGCTGTATTGCAGTGTGAAAAACTCCCAGCCTTGGATATTATCGTGTAGTAGACAACTACAGTCATGGTGACTGATGGTAATACAAATTCTATAGACATAAATACAAGTTACAGATTTTTTACAATTAAAAATGCAATGCATATGCAGAAGAATCCATCTTACAGATTTACAACTTAAAACATTCTATTTTTTTTTCTGTGTGCCTCCTAGGTACAGAAATACAACATGCAAAGAAACAAAATATATTATTGCACTCGAGCAGAATAATAAAAAGTCACCCCACATTTAAAAATAAGATCCAGTTTACATCAATAATGATTGTAATGGTTGCTGCTAATGAGTTTAAAGTGTTAAAGCAGATGTGCAGACCGACAGATGCTCCATTAGCACTGTCATAGCAGAGTGAGAGCTGATTTTCCATGCTCTTGTGCTGGACCCCACACTCCCAGGTTGAAGGCCAGTAAATTAAATAAATGAAGCTACAAGTATTTGAAAGTCTCTTCAGCCCTTCCTGGCTCTCAGGGACCCTGCAGAGCCTGATGGCTGGTAATAGCAGGCGCTCTGCTTCCGTTTGTGTTTGTGGTTTTCAGTGGAGGTCAAAGTTGTGCATTGAATTAATTTCCATTCTCCTTTCTGTGGTCGAATTCCCCTGATAGTTCCACTTCCTTTTCCCACCCTATCCTGGGGAAAGCGCTTCTTCAGAAAACAAAAAAAGCCTGTTTGAAGTACTTTAAATTTGGCTTGTTTAAAGGACAGAGACAAGGGTTCATGGGGGTGTCAGAACATTCCCTCCCTCACTCTCCTGGTTGAAGAGGGCAGAGAGCAATAACTGCGAGTCCGCACTGCCTGTAGCCTCCTGTCCACTGTCGGACAGGGCCTGAGGTCATTCATGCCACAAAACACCAAACCTGAAATTACAGTCAACTTGTCCAAGCTTAGCCAATCTTAAGCCCTGAATGATACAGTAGTGGAAAGGGAGGCCTGTCTCTGTGGGCTATTTTCCGAACCATTAGCAATCACAGTTGCCATTTAGTGTTTAAAAATCCTTTTTGATGCTCCATGAACCTGGTTTATTTCTTGCCTTGTATAGAGTTGAGTCTCGTTCATCTAGAGATCTTGTATAGTCTCAGTTGTTGAACCATGCCAACAGTTAACCAAAATCTAGTGCTACCAGCTCTGCCAACAGTTGTTTTCTGCTGAATTAAGACATTGACTTAGCACCAACCTGGAATGGAAGGATGTAGACAAATTTGCCCAGGTTTTTATAGGTTCTCAACCTGTCTGTTGTAATTCTTTATAAAAGTCTTGTGCTCTTGTCTCTGATTGTATCACCCCAGTGATTAAGGCTTTTAAATTGGTTACCATGGGGTTTCTGAATTTTAAAGAACCAGCAATTACTTGTGAAGTCCTTCATGGATCGGGGCCTTTAGGAGCTACTCGTTCCAGATGATCCTCCTCATTCACAAAGATCGGAAATCGTAGATTTACCAGTTGTACCCAGACACCATCTTTAATCAGTTGAGTTCAGGACTTTGAACTGCTGCACTTCATTTCTGGAAGCAGATTTCAATTTGTAAGTTTCTTCTAGGTTTACCGTTTAAGTAATCGTTGGTGACTGGAATTGGATATGCCGATAGTTTTTTTTTGAGTTTGTGCAGCGCTCTGAGATGCCCCAGTAAGAAGGGGTCTACACAAGAACACATCTGCACTGTGCTTGGTTATCAGTAGAGCACTGAGGCCTGAGAGTGCAAAGGAGGATTGGAGCTTGTTTATGGGGTTCCCATGCGCAGCTCAGCTCAGGCCTGACAGACAGCTGACCGCTGATTAACAGCCTCTATATGTACAGTAAATTGTATGTCTCGCCTGTTGCCAACAGCAAAGGAGTCGTTCATTCTGCCTTTCATGTTTCGTTTCTTTCTTGAAATACCTGCCAATACCAAGGCCCTGGTGATTGTAGGATTTTGTTTTGTAAAGGTGCTATGTTTATTAATCGTGTAGCATTTTTGTGTTATTATTTTCAGTGAATGGATAAAAAAACCCTTCAACTTCACTGTTAACATTTTGAGTTGAAATTAAACTACGCATCTTTCAGCCTTCCCCGGTCAAAATGTTTTTGCTGCATGTGAGGACGGAGCTGGTGAAAGGTGGTGAAAAGACCAAGGCAAATTCTGCCTACTCTTAAATTTTATTCCTTATTTTCATCACTATTTTCTCTCTGTTCCAACTGGCAGCACTACTGAATTTATGGCCCCATTAAAAGCACCTCAGTACCCACCCCTCAACGTCTAATCCTGGGCTTCTGCAAAGAACCAGACGAACAGGATCCAGTTTCTTGAGCTGTGAGCTTAGGGAGCCTGCAGCCCAGAGCAGGAGCTGACTTTGTACCCTGGTTTCAGGAGTTTACCAATCCAGCACCTCTCCATATCCTACTGTCGTCAGTCGCTGTGTTTGTGTATCCCGGGGAATTCCAATTTGTGTTTCTCATTCAGCCGCTGTCTCATAGTATCTGAGTTTTAACTAACTGTCTTCTTCTAGGTCTGAATTAGGCTAAAAAGAGAGTCTGTGTTCTGTTAAATGTAAGACAGCAGAAAGTAACTACATTTTACTTACATTTTTAAGTATTGAGGGAACTAGAATAAGGAAAGACCTGCCAGATATTAACAAAATTAAACTAAATAACATCTTCAGAATAAATGCTGAAACTTACACCAGGGGCATACAAGTGGCAATGAAGAGGAGCATTAGATACTGACAACAAGAGTCACAGGGTTCCAGGAAGGATTGTGTGCATCAGGGACAAGTTACCCCACCATGCTGGGTTAAAGAAGATGCGCTGGGATCCGTCAAAAAATGGATCCAAGAGATCCTCAGGTCTCCTGACAGCCAGAAAGAAACTAGTCTGGCCAAAATCCCTCTTCTCATTTGTCACCATTCTAAAGGTCTTAGTAATAGCAGTGGGACAAAAGCAGGAAGCAGGATTAAACTAACTTTTGGGCCAAACATTAAAACCACTTCTCACTTTTTCGATTCCTCTTTGCTGCTGTCACTTTTCCTAAGGAAGGTGAAGGAGGCACTGTCTTTGCACAGTCTTAACACATACAAGAAAAAAGTGGTTGACGTTTTGTTACGGATTTGTTGGGACTGATGTTCATTCATGTTAAAAGATTTAGTTGTTTTTGGTCATTCACAAGGCAAGTTTAACATATTATAAATTGCATTGCTGAAGATGTAATGTAATTGGAAAACAATTTCTAGGAGATGTCTGAAGGCTTGGGATCTGAGAAATCTTCCTTAAAATGTAGTCATTGCAGACTTCTGCTTATGGAATTAATGAGAAAAGTATTTTCCTGTAGGCAGAACAGTAGTGTAGGGGTAAACATTAAGACCCTGGATTCAGTTCTGGGCCTGGGGTGCTATCTGGGTGGAGTTCGTATTTTCTCCCCATTTCGTGTCGGTTTTCTCCCACAGTCCAAATACAGATTTGTGGATTAATTTGTTTCTGAGTAAACTGGTCCTGATGGGAGTTTATGATCGTGTCTGTGTCTGTTTGTCTGCCCTACGATGTACTGGCGTCATGCCCAGGGTGTACCCTGCCTTGCGTCCATTGGTTGCCAGTATAAACTCCGGCTTGCCTGCGACACTTGAATTGGATGAAACAGCTAGAAATTGGTTGGAGGTTTCCCTGTCCTTCATTTGCTTGAACTGTTATTTCAAATATAGATCTTCATGTCATTCTCTGCAATTTATTCTGTGATTGAGTAGCTGCAGTGATTGGCTTTTTGCAAATGTGTCAAATTGTAAATAACCTTGAAGAATAATGGTACATGTTAAATTAATTTTCTCTTCCTTTGTGTGTAAGACAGATTGCATTGTTTTTCCTTTTCTGTATTTACAGATATGTGCTGTATATGTGTGTATACAAAATTCACTCTCTATTCCTATTTGATTAAAATGCAGGTGCATAGGCCAAGGCATAGCAGGAATCTCTAAATCTCTACATCTCTTGATCTCTTTTCCTTGACTATTTTTAAAAGACTGCATAGCAACATTGTCAAGTAATCAAAATTCTTGCGTTAGTGCAAACGTTCTTATGGAACACAAACCTCAGAAGAGCTGATAGCGTTATTGTATTGCAGCAACAAGGTGCTTATTCTTATTGTTATACTGCATGGAGGGTTACTTTACAGAAAAAAAACTGCCAGTTCACAGCTCTCTGGTACCTCGCTGTGAGTTTGTGAGATAGGCTCTGAATTGCTGAATAGTCCCTTTCAATTTGAAATTTCAAGTGTCCTTTTCAATATGCTTCTCATTTAGGAGCAAAAGAGAGACTCTACAAGAGGGCTTAATTTCCATCATTCCACGATTCCTCCACTGAGAAGAGCAAAATCACTCGACAGAAGGACAACGGAATCTGTAATGACGGTAGGTCTGCTCTTTACAGTTACTGCTTGAGGCTTCCTGGTCTTGGATCTGTCCTGAGTACAGAAGGCACCGTGAGGCTATCCGAAGAAGACAGCAGCAGCTGTAGGGACTGTGTAAAATTTCCAGCCCCTCCAGAGAGCTAATATGAGCTTGTTAACAGATAACCTGGTGTTGCAGAGGCGGGGCTGAGGGTGATATTCCTGTATTATATAGGAATGGCACAGAGCAGAGCTGCTCTGGCTCCAGATTTGTTTTAGATTTTTTTAGGTGACTCACAGATTGTCAACCTTTTGTTTTTCTAGTAACATTTTCATGGATAAAAGAAACAGATTTTTGTTTTTATTTTGCTTTTGAAAGAGTCCCTCACAAAGCTACAGGGGGTCCATTGAAGCCTTTTCCTCTGCTTGAGCTCACTGATGCTTTCATCCAATTCAAGATGTCTAGAGTATGACATTTCTTTCAAGGAGATATTTAGTCATTTTTATTTACCCCTTCACTGTATTTAATGTTGCCAAGTGTTTTGTCTTCACCTCTTAGCCTTTGATGAGCTATTGCTTACATTGGCCTCATCATTTTGAAAATTGCAAGCTCAAGTCTCCCAGATGATACTTGTTTTCCAGCTTGTCTTACACTCATTGTGGCATCATTTTGTATCCACAGTTTTGCCATAGAGACATAGGCAGAGCTCAGCTCAGTTTTAACCTCTTCAGGTTAAATAATAATCTGCAGGCCAATCAAGGACAGCAGGACTAAATAAATATCTCTGTGTGCCGGAGTGACGCTGTGGGTTGTGGGGTCTCTGTGTGCCTGAGTGGTCTTCTGGCTTTGGGGGTCTCTTTGTGCCGGAGTGGCACTGTGGCAGGCAAAGCTTATTGGAGCTATGAAATATCAAAACCAGTTATGTAGGTATTGTCAACACCATAGAATATGTTATTTTTTGTAATCTGTGATGTTAATTATACTAAGCACTATATGAGATATTCTTAAGTTAGCTTGAGGTTACATACCACTTGCATTTGAATTTTTGATGTTATTAAAATATTTAATAACTAATTAGTTAAAAGTGATACATTTTTTCAATTTATTTGTACTGGTTTGTTGCTGCCCACAACCATGATGAATTTAAAGCCAACAGACCAAATATTTCACTTGTGCAAATAGTCCGAAACCAGCATCTGCTAAATAAAGATGCATCATCTGTCCCATAGGGATAGTTGTACAAGAATAGGCCAGTGTTTTATGGCTTAGTCAAGCAGGGCAGTGGGGACTCATTTGATCTGCCCTTTTTATATTTTAACTCCAAGATTGTATTTTTGAATGAAAGAGCCACACTGTGTTACATGACACCCGTATTTGACTGGTCAACAGTTTCTGCTTGTTTCTGCAATGGAATAACCAACATCTATTCTTAAGAACATGGGACCCCTAAAATCCTTCTACATGCCGGAGGGTGCTGTACAAATCTCTCTCCCAGGTCATTTCCGCATCCTTCATCTTTTTGTTCATAATTCCGTGCCTTGTTGAGTCTGACAGTGTGTCAGTGGGTATGCTTGTGTGGCAGTTTCTTTGCTTTAACGAATTTACACTTCACTTTACAAATTCACTTTAACTCACAATCAACCCAGCAAATACCTTCAGGGACCTGTCCATGTTACGTCCACTGGAAGCTGCATTATGTTGTGATGACACTACTGAATGACACCAGCAAATTGGATTGTGGATTGGAGTGGAAACCGAATGGTTTGGCATGCTGAGTGGTTTTCGTATTACTTTTATACTTTTTTCTCAAGGCATCAGCCAGCTCACTACAGTTTATTTCACCTGTTTGTTCCTGCTGTTTCTCAGGTGCTCCTTTTCTGTTTTGATTTGTGTGCCTTATTGTATAGCTGTTCCAGGAAATGTATGGGAGGGAGCTCAGTAGCATTGCACTTAGTTCTGATTCTGACGTTCTCATGTGCAGAACAGTTCTCCCCCCAACATTTCTTCTGAAGCCTTGAAGAGTGTTTGGAGTTAAACAGTGATGTCAATCTACATGCACACAGAGACTCACCCAAAACATACATGTTATGCAACAGGTTGTAATTCAAAGAGCAGGCAGGTACAGGTATAAATCCCCCGCAGGCCCTTTTGTTTCCTTTTAAATCGAATTTTTATGTTATGGTTTTGGTTGAACATGCAATGTAGAATTATTATTTTTAAACCAAATTTCATGTGAACTAAGGTGAGTGTTGTTGGGGGGAAGCAAATAAGAACAAACAGTCTGCTTTTAGGTTTAAACATGTCTCTCTTATGTGCCTACCAGTTAACAAAATGTTTCAGGTTTCTAGATTCAATGTTTCTCTTATATACTTACAGAAAAGCATCTGTTTACCGATTGGCCATTATTATTAAAAGTCCTTTGTTTTAATTCCATTTTCTTATTGCTGTTATTTAATTTAGGAGGTGGTGTTCGTAGTAGAGTTTAATATGGAACATTTAAAAATCTGGCCGTATGTTTTTGTTAATTGACTTATTTCAGACTCCATGCATTTCTGCTTTATTTAAAGTCTTTGCACAATGCCAGAGCTTCTTTTCGTACAGAACTGTTAGAGCTGCACTGCTGCAGTATCAGTCCTATGTATTGGCACCCTGTATTTGAAACAAAGTTACAAATTTTTTACTTCATGTTTGTGGAACTCGCCTTCTTTGAGCATCTGATTTATTGAAACATAATTCATACTATTAAGTGGGAGTCTTGTTCTAGTGAATTAATTTATGATACAGGGGACCAGTACTATGGTTGCATCTGCATGGCATTAATGAGTTAAATGTTTCAAATTCAGGGAAGCTGCAGTGTGCTCCTGTTGCATGGTATGTCTGAATGGGATGAGAACATTTTCATAAGGGAATGTCGGTAGCAGAAGGTATTGATCTGATCTGTTCTTTTTGTGTAGCCTGACCTGCTCAACTTCAAGAAAGGCTGGATGGTGAAGCTGGATGACCAGGGCCAGGTGAGTTACAATGGTGGGAGCAGAAAGGGTTGAAAGTCTTCTTCTGTGCTTTAGCTACTGATGCACTTTATCAAGTTTTACCCAAGTTTCTGTCACTGTGGGGCCCAGTGTGTGGGCAGTGTCACTGTGGGGCCCAGTGTGTGGGCTCTCTCATTGTTGGGGAATGTCACGGTGGGGCCCAGTGTGTGGGCTCTCTTACTGTGGGGTTCTGTCACTGTGGGACCCAGTGTGTGAGCTCTGTCACTGTTGGTATCCATCACTGTGGGGCCCAGTGTTGTAGCCTGTTCAGATATCTCTCGTTTTCTGTGCATTGGATTTCCTAAGTTCTGGTTACATTCTTCAGGGAACCATTTTAAATCGGATATTTTATATCTAAACGAAACTTTTACTTAATTGTTTCACAGAAGGAATCTCTAGAAACAAGAAGTCGTGCAAAGGTGCACGTGCACTACATGAGCGTTTTTATGTTAAACAAGTTATTTTTATATTTCAGTCTCACTTTTGGGATTGATGTAACAACATTGAGTTTGGAGTTGGCCCTATTTCTCTGGGTTTGATCAAATCAATTCCTGCTTTGTTTTAAAAAACTGATACAGTGGCTTACTGTTTTAATCCCAGATAGCTGGTATGATCACTGTTTTCACACTCCGTGTGTTTGTTTCACATTTTGCTGCAAATCAAACAGTGCTAGGTTTGATTTTAAGTGCAGTTCTACTGCTCTTATTTTAATAAGCTAGCTTGAAGCACACCTTAGTATGTTCCTTTGAAACTATAATAATGTGGGTAAAAGTGCTAATGCAATATGCAGTTATACAGTGTAATTCAGTGTTTAGGCTTTGTAACAGAATTATGAAGAATTGCAAGACATGGCTTTGCAACTTAAGCTCCGATACGGTATTGTCTGACCTGCTGTTCTTGAATGTTGTCAGGTTGATGTTGTATTTGACTGATGTGCAATTGCCTTAAGGCTGTCAAACAGGTCATCAAAGTAAAGATAGGAGTTTTGGTCTCTGCTGAAAGAGCACCCACATCAACAGGCTTTGAGCTGTGTGTCTTTAAAGTGGAAGGATCATCTTTGATTCTGGGGGTCAGCAGGTAGGAGTTAAAAGGATAAAGCTTGATTTTTTTCCACGGTGACCTTTGTTCAAAAACACTCTGCCAAGTGGCAGCTTTCGTGAGCGGGAATCTGGTTTCAACCCTGAGAGGACTTCATCTGGTTCGCACTGTAACGGCGGGAGAGGAGTTCTGTTACAGCTGCTGAACATTTCCAGCTCTGGAGTGTGTTGGAATTTTGCTTTTTATGACAGATGGTTAACAACAGCTAAGCAAATGAGATGCATTAAATCTTAGAACCATTTTATATCGCAAAGCAAAAAGCCCTTTAGCCTTTTATTTTTACATGTGCAAAGTAACAGTAACTCATACTATTGTTATTGTGTTTTATGCAGTAATTAGTAACATTTGTGTCTGATATGTATTAGCAGTCTTTAAATGCTGTGGGAAAAACTCCTATCAGATCCCCTAGGGAAGGCATGTTGTGTGTTCTAGTAAATCTGCCATCCTGTGTTGCAGATCTAATACTTCAAATGTAGTACAGTGTGTAGGCCCCTACAGGAACACTGAAGTCACATTCATGTGTAAAGTCATTTTTTAATTGTATGATTAATGTTATATTAATCCCTTTATTTTCAGTTTTTGTTATATAATCATTTAAGTTCCAGTTAGCCTTGTAACAATGATTCCCAAATTTATAAGGGTAAATAAAGGCATAAGGAAATAGGGGCAACACACCTTCCCATCACCTCCATAGCAACCTATGGGAGTGTGTCACATCAGGCCGGCAGATATCTGGCGAGTTGCAGAAGTTCCTGTTCTGTTGAAGTTCAGAAGCCTGGCCTACAAACACCCTCAAGAAATATGAATAAAGAAATTTCATATATCTTCTGAAAGCTCCCCAGAGATTAACCTCCTCTACTGGCTGTGAAAGTCTGTTTCAGACATGCGCAATACTGAAGTGTAAAAACGTTTCCTATTTTCCATCCTGAATTCATTTCCTTTTGGTTCCCACTTTTGACTCCATTTCCTTGTTTCTCTAGTGAGTCTGAAGTAGTCCCCTGAATTGACATTATCCATATCCATTATCCATATTTTGTAGACTTAGATCGATGTTCTGTCTCCTTTGTTAAATACTGGAGAGTGAACTCTTTTAACAATCCTCTGAGGCCAGGAGTGATCTTCTTGCTTTTCTTCTAGCTCTTTCTAATATTCTTTCCTCATGTGGTGACCAAAACTGAACACAGTATTCCAATTCGTGTCTTCCCTTGATTTAAAATGTTGCTGTATGTACCCAAGTCTTCTGTTTGTTTTTTTTATTGCTGCCCCTCACTGTCATCTTTCTAGGTTTGGACATACAGTATTTTAGGAATGAATTTGTTTTCAGCTTAGAACATCCTTGTGCAACTATGAATCCTTCTGTTCCCAGATCACAATATGTAAGCTCTGCCTTATTCCTGCACTGTCTGCTTTTCCAAAATTATAACCACTTATGTTAGACTTTAGAAATTTAAAGTGCTTGTCAGAAGCTACCATTTCCAAGAGCTTCTATCAAATTAATTAATTAATTATGAAATGAGTAGGTCAATATACACATCTTTCCCAGTTGGTGCCTTTACGTAGTGCCTTAATAAGTAATCATTATCCATTTGAACTTTACCAGTTTCAGCTTTGTATTCCCCAACACAGTATCCCAAGTTATGTGAAAAACTGAATCTCCTAATAATATGACCTTTCCTATATACCTACTGTAAGTTACTTGTACCCTTACCGAGTTGGTCCTTGTTAAGATTCTTGTGAAACCCTTAGAACCTCTCCCGCCAAGTGACCCATCCATTAAAGGCGCTTGAGTGTAGCTCTGTGATTTCAAATTAAACCAGGTTTGTATCACTAACTGAGCCCGATATTCCCACAAAGACGTGAATACACTGTATGTGTACATGTGATTCTGATGTGTGTAACCTTATTTTCTACCCTGTTTTTCAAGTGGAAGAAGTACTGGTTTGTCCTGACTGACCACAGTCTACGATACTATAAGGATTCCATTGCTGAAGAGGTCAGTAGCAACATGAAGTTTAAAAAAAAAAGAGGTAAACCAGGTGATCTTTGAAACTGTTAACTGTCTGTTAAGGTATTGATAGGGATAAGATGTAGATTGCCTTATCTATAGCTTTCCCAATAATTGTGAAATGGAATGAAATCTATCACACATGCTTGACACAAAGATCAATATGTTTGGGGCCACACCCCCAGGAAGAGCTTGGAAAAAGCTGAAGTCTTGAGATCTACAGAATAGTGAAGGAGGTGATAGGGGATAGGTGACTTATTTGTCCTTCTGTTCCTTATGTTGTAATTGAAGTTGACTGACTGTTCTTATGTGCATTGGGTACACCAAAGTATTTCATTGGTATAAAATACTCCCTTCTGATTTGTTACTTTCCTAGGCAGCAGTTACATTTTTCAGCTGCTTTAGATTTTCATTGATATTTTCGGTGAATAAGATTAGGCAGTGACATGATTGGGCAGTGGTTACCAATGTTGCCTTGTAGCACTGAGTTTCACTCAGTTGTGCTATGTGCATGGAGTTTCAGTCCAAAGACATACTTGTAAGTTAATTGGCTTCAGAGAAAATTGGCCCTAGAGTGAGTGTGTGCCCTGCGATGATCTGGTTTACCATCCAGGGTGTATCTCATCTTGCTAAGATAGGCTCTGACTCCCCTCTCACCCTGTACTGAATTGAGAGGTTAGAATTGATGGATGGAACATTAACACTTTCCAACAGCTGTTTAATGACTATCTGTTATACGTTCTACTTTTCATCCACACTGATGCACAAATCTGGTGGTTCCATAACCTTTATCCAAAATTATTTTTGTCATCAGCTGTCCACGTTTAACAAGTTAGAATATTATTAAAAGTATGACGTATTGTACCTATCACCTGAAAGCTGTGTTAGCTTGTTAATGGTATACTAGCCCTTAGAAAATAATAGATAACCACTGTATTAATGGTGGCTAGATGCCTATTACCCGCTGTCACTAATGAATAACTACATCATCTACAGTATATGTTTCACTACTGAGGCCTGTATTATGAATGTATTAGTCAAATGGTAGCACAAAGTAAGCTGTATTTCAGAAATATTGTCTCATTTACACACATCAGAACAGAGCAGATGAGAGTTAATACAGGACCTGTGAAGGTGTGCATGGCTTTTTTCGATTCCCTGTCTTTTCCTTGATTTTCAAAGTTTACTTTGCATCAATACCATTGATCATTGAGGAGCAAAGCATCTCCTGACAATCCGGAATCTTCCTTGTTACAAAGAAGGCTGTCTGGTTTGTTTCTATTAAATGTACTTCATGACTGGGATAATTTGTGCTGGTATGCAGCAGCTGTACTGAATGGAACCACATCTTTGCATTTTAATATAGGAGAACATAATTTGCTGACTCCACAATAGTGTGTGTTGAGTCAAATACCACAGAGGCATGATGAGCAGAGAGCCTGTAAAACAGTGGGTTGTGCGATGTGGTCTGTCAGAGGATACATTCCTCCACACCCATCAGTGGTACTGAAAAAACATGTGGATTGAAAACTGAGGATTGCAAGGACTTGATAAATCTGCGCCTGCCTCCTATGGCGAGCTGCCACTCTCTTTAGGCCTCATATTTTTCCTGGTGTTTTTCAGGCCTCTGACCTTGATGGAGAAATAGATTTGACCACCTGCTACAGTGTCACGGAGTACCAGGTTCAGAGGAACTACGGCTTTCAGATCCATGTAAGAAAACCATCACTGAAACCCCCGATCAGCAGGAAACAGTAGGCTGTTCTACTGGTCGGCATTCTCTGTAAATTATAAAATCAAATTTAACATGTTCTTTTATGGAGCCAATAGGCTGTAGGTGTTTGGGAGACCCATTCCAACCACCCTGAAGTGTAGTCCCCACCTGGAGGACATGTAGCAACCCTTTTAAGCCAGGAACCCCAATGAACAGTAGATCTTGTGCAGGAGTAAGAGATAGCCTCATAAGCTGAATAAAGGGGGAACTTTTAGGAAGGCCAGACTGCAGCCAGAGTGCAATTTAGCCGGTGGTCAACACCATTACACAAGCACTAAAACCTTTAATGACCAAGTAGCCAGGAACTCAGTGTATAATCTTATCTAATGCTCAGAATCTCTTCCAGCACAGTATCTCTGCTCACCATACTGGGGCACTAGTTTGGAAATTGTGCTCCAGAGGAAAAGTGCCTGGTCCACCAACACCACTTGCATAGAAACCTGGTTTTTCTTCGAGGTCTCTCTGCCCAGTTCTGACCTGTACTGACCTAGGCCTATTTAAGCTTTTGAGATCTGTTGAGAACAGCCTACAGGGTGACAATGCTGCCCTCGTGTAGGCCAGAGTTTCACCTCCTTTAATATGACAATAATATGTAGGAACTGAGAAGTAAAGACGCATGGAAGAACAGCCATAGTTTTCGTGGGCTGTCCTACCATTATTTTTTCTCAGTGTTGGTGGGTTGTAGGAGCTCAGAGAAGAAGAACTTCAGCAGTGCTAGTGGGGTGAAGGAGTTGTAATGACAAGGCCTTTTGTAGTTTCTTTCTGTGCTTCACTGACATATGAATATTTTGGGGCACTCATCTGGCTACTTAATAATTTTGCTGCCTTACTTAATCTTACATTTTTTCATGCAAGGAGGTAGTCAAGGTGTTGTGGTGAACAAGTTTAACACTTGCTCTGTAAATATTCTTTTGCCATTTTTTTTCAGACTCAAGAAGCTGTGTACACACTGTCCGCTATGACTGCAGGAATAAGGCGAAACTGGATCCAGGCAGTTATGAAGAATGTGCGCCCCTCCACTGCTCCAGATGTGGCTAGGTCAGGTTTATTCCTCTACAACATTTTTTGTTTTTTCACTTACAAGGATCTTTCTGAAAGGTTCCAAACAGCTTGTTTGGGAGTTAGTAGTTAATTGTTCCAAGGATCTCATCTGACTGTTCTTAGTTGAAGCCTGGGTATCAGCTTCAACAACATGGCTGGGTAGGTTGTTCCATGATCCCACAACCTTTTGTGCTTGTCTTGGTTTTTCCATATAGTTTCCACTTGTGTGCTCCGGTTCCATTTTTAATGATGTCCACTGAGTTGACTTTTGTCTTTCCCTTAGAAGATTTTTTAAATAGAATTTCAATAAAAACTATATTGGAAGTATTCCTAGACTGTGTAAATACAATCATTATTGGTAGTGTTGGTTGTTTTTGACTGGTACAGTTGTGTCAAAGGCAGTAGCATCCCTTTTATACAGATGGACGTTTTTCAGGAGCTGTGAGTCAGTCAGAGCTCTTCTGATATGGAGTAGAGCAGGCTTCACTCAGACATGGATTGCTTGCCACCAATCACCCTAGGACCTGACATCTGCAGGGAACCTGCAAGCCTGCAGTGACATCAGAAAGGTTACAGACAAGAGGAGGCCATTCAGCCCATCTTGTAAATGTCTTGCCGTCATTGAGATACATGCCACTCCACCAGCTCCACTGTGGTGCCTGGAGCAAGTCCGAATGATGAAGGGCAACAGGTTCTGGGAGAGTGTGTCCAAAAGTTATTTCACACAAATATAAAATAAACAGTAATTAGTGGTTCTAATCTTAAAAAAAGAAGTCAATCTGTTGTTTATGCAGCCTTCCTGATGACTGTGGCTCCATCACGCCCCTGGACTCACTGCTGAAGCCCGACGTCACGCATGACTCCCCCTCCTCCGAGGCCTCATCCGCGGAGAGGGACCCCGGGCAGAAAAGGAGCCGGGCCCGGGAGAGGAGACGAGAGGGGCGGTCCAAAACGTTCGACTGGGCCGAATTCAGGCCCATTGCTCAGGCCATGGCGAAGCAGCGGACCTGCGGAGTGGACGCGTTGCAGTTGGACCCGACCGACTTGGAGCGGACGAAGAGGCGGGAGGAGCGCAGGAAGAGGTACGAGGTGGTGACCGGCACCCTGGAGCCCACGGCCGGCCCTGCCGCCGACCCCAGCCACATGGACGTGGAGGGCTGTGGCGCCTCGTCCGCGCTGGAGAGGCAGCGGAAAGTGCAGGACGAGATCGAGCAGCACTGGCAGCAGGTGGAGAAGACCCCCATAAGGGAGGAGCGGCGCGTGCCACTGGCCTCTGCCTTGCAAGCTAAAGAGACAGCGGAGCTTGAGAGACTGCTGGACAGTTACAAGAAAGGGGTAAGTCTTCCAGCCACACCCTGGACTGCTTTATATTCCAGCTCAGAAGAATAATGGGGAATCATCTCTGATGCTTGGTTCTTATTATTCCTATCTCCAGTTTTTCCAAACCTGATTTAATCATTAATCTCAGATACTTATTGAGGGTTAACATTCTTTCCGATTTGCATACTATGAGCAAGAGAATTAGTAGTCGCTGTTATTCATTAAAACTTATGAGCCTTCTCGAGCAGAGCTAGAGGGAGGTGAAAGTGAGGTCTTTAACTGAAGAAATTCAAGGTCTTTGATCACTGCTGCCTGACCTTACACTAATCAGTCACAGAATTGGTGATGCAGGTACATATAAGAGACTTCAAGAAGTCCAAGAAAGCGTACTTCCAAAGTAGTAAACTAAAAGGGCCCCAGCACAAAATGACATGATAATGCTACTTTAACACTTTGAAAGGGAGTTGCCTTGGTGAGAGTTCCAGAGATAGGGCGAACAGGTACAGGAATAGATGGACCACTTTATCTGAGCTCAAGAGAACAAAGCCCATCCTCAAGCTGGATGTGGAATCGAATGCACTTTGACCTGGCTGTTGCTTCGTAGGTAGAAGAGCTGAGAGCTCAGCTGGAGAGCTGTCACCAGCAGCTGGCTGATTCCCATTACCGCAAGCTGGAACTGGAAGCCCAGCTGAGCTCAGCGCTGGAGCGCGAGCAGCACGTTCGCTCTGGTTACATTTCGCCGGTAAGCTCATTTCTCCCAACCGCTTCCTGTTACACAAAAGGAGGAAAGAGGTGGGGGGTGGGGGTGGCATTCTTTTCCATTAAACAGTCTTTGCATGTTTTATTAAAAAGAATAACTGACAACTGACCAAAAAAATAAATAAACAGCTTGCATGGGACAGCTGCATGTTTCAGGAACAGAGGTGGAATAATACATTTTGAGCATCTGGCTCCTCTTTGTTAATTTCCTCTTTTCATGTTCAGCAATGAAATACAGAGGACAAGCGTTTGTATGGCAGCAGTTAAATCTACATGCTACATACAATTATTAACATGAGGATTTACATGGATCATGGGACTGGTTCTTCTAACGCTTGGTAGCTGAACAAGCATGATTTTGTTCTGATTACTCCCTGTGGGAGTTGCTGTCATGCTAGAGACTGTTTCTGAAGTGTTTTGTAAAAAAGTGACGTGTATTTTGTTCTTATGTCGTGTGCATGCTGTTCAAAGGATTCATGATGTATTAACAACTAAAGTAGACAAGATAATTTATATTTTCACATTTAAGGTGAAGAATAGTTACTCTTCATGACTAAGAATAAGTAGTTAACATTTCATACATATTGTGAATTACTGTTTATTGTTTTTATTTAAAGTAAAGCCTATTCTCCATTTCTGTCAGCTCTTCCTAGCTTGTTATAGTTTATTGGTGGAAATTGACTGAGATTGCCTGAACGGAGAGGCTAAAATTCATTCTAAGCTTGTTAGCGCAAAGTTTGATATTTGTGGTGTCTAGGTCTTTAGTTGGGATTATGCCGTTTGCCTGGGTTTTATTTGGAATGCTCATATACTCGTTTTCTAGTATGCCTTTGTTGTTCAAATATTTTTAATTCAGATATTGCGTATATATAGTTATTTTTCCATAGTGAAATGTGCTACTGTTAATGAACCATAATGACTATAGAGGTTTTTAACACCTTAAATGACAAAGAGAGTGACACTCAAATAGAAGTGCTCTTTTCTTTGTTGCCATTCTGAAATGACCGTGTTTTTATTGAGTGATTTCACATTTTCACATACTTAGCGTGCTGTAGATTCTTCCTTTCCCAGAGTTTGGAGTTCATGTCAAGAGCATTAAGAATGAATCCACTGAAATCCACGGTTAAGTTCACAAGTTACTTTTTAATAAAAGAATTTGTGTGCAGTGTTTATTTAGAGCCACATTTTTTAATTAAAACTTTCAGTTTAAACTTATATTTAAATGTTTTACAAACTAATGTTTCTAGTGAAGATTTTTTTGTTATTCAAATTACAATTACATTAGAAAAATAGTTTGGAGGATTATGTTCTTTGTTGATTCAATATTTCTAATATTCTGTACAAATATTCTAAAAAGCAGAAGCTAGAAAATACTGTAACAATTGCTACAATATGCTTTCTATTCCAAAGTCAACTACTTAGTACTAATTTTGCATTACTTACTTCATAAAATAACTCTTAACCATTTTTATGTGCATGTTCAGTTGTGATTTACTAACTACATCATTAAATCTCCTTTTTTCCAATTCTGTCTCTTGTGTTTTGCTTCATTTACACAAAGAATTTGGAAGTGTCTTCCTTTTAACCGGCAGAGTTTAATTTCTCAGACATGTTGTTTTTTGCATTGACGTTCATAGCACAGTATCTTGTTAATGTTATTTTTTCCAAAATTAGAATCTCAAAAAGAATCTACAGTTAATGAGCTTGTGACATCTGCTGAATGTTAACCACTATCTGGTCCCCTTTTCCAAGCTGGAGTCCCCACTGGGTCTCGAGGCTGAGCTTGAGTCCCAGAAGAAGAGGCAAGAGCTGATCAGTTCTCAAGCTCAAAACCTAAAAAAGAAGTACCAAGAAACCAAAGAGCTCCTGCAGCAGCAAGAGGTCAAAAAACGCAGCATGCAAGCACAACTGGGTCTTTCTCTCTCAGAGCTGTCAGCACGAGAATTGTCCCCTGCCAAATCTCTGAATACCTTCATCTCTGAAACCCAGGGTATCACAGATGCGCCTGGGGAGCTGACACAGACAGCCAAGAGGTTGAGTATAGTACTGCAAGACACCGAGGAGAAACTGGAGGAACTGCAGAGCCTGATCTCAAGTTCCCCCCTGACTGTAAACGACCTTGTGCGGTTGTTAGCCACTTACATGGGAGATGAACACAGGACTCCTGGAAGTAAGACATGCTGTCAAAAGCTGTACGACAGCCTGAAACAACAGCAGGACCTGGAACATGAGGCCCTGAAACAGAATCTGGCCAAGGCAGGGGAGAGCGTCAGAGAGTATGAAGCGCGTCTGCAAAGCATGGAGGGCATGCTGGGAAGGGTGCAGAGGCAAAAGCTAGATAATCTGAAGAGCTGTGTGGCGCTCAGGCAGATGGAAGAGCACGTGGAGCTAAGCGAGGCCACGGTCAAACGACTGGCCCAGGAGGTCGAGTTGTTAACTAACGAAAACGAGGTGCTGAATCAGCGTTATCAGGAAATCGTGAATCAGCTGACAGAAGCAGATAGGGAGATAGAGAGGCTAAAGATAGAGCTTTTTAATCAGCAGGGAGGACAGCAGTACCTGCAGGTGGTTGAAGAACTAAACAAGCTGAAGACAAAGCTGGCAGAGAAGGAAGCAGACTTTATAGATAAGGATTTCTATGAGCAGGAGCTGAGCAAGAAATCCCAGAAGCTGCAGGATGCCTTGATGAAGTTAGAAGTGTTGGGGAGCAGCCTGAAGGAAACGGAGAAGAAGCTGCATCTGAAGGAGGCTACTCTGAAGGGCCTGGGCTTCCAGATGACTGAAGACAATGATGCACAGCTACTTATAGAGGAAAAGGAATGTCTTCTCAAACAGCTGGCAGGTGCCGAGGCCAGGATCGCAGATCAGGAGAAGCAGCTCGAGGTCTTAGAACAGTCCCGAGAGGAATTTGAGTCCCAGTATAGGGAGCTCAAATTCAAAAGGGCAGAGTCGGAAAGCATGTACAGCCAAAAGCTTTTAGAGGCAGAAGGTAAGATTAGAGAGCTAGAGGAGGAGATTGAGGGCTTGAGGAGGTCAGTGAGTGGGCATGGTTGCACAGAAAAGAAAGAAGGTCTTGCAAGTAGTGTAACGGATGAAGAGCGGATTGAGCAAGTAGTGGAAAAGATTAAGCTAAAGTCGGCAGCCCTTAGTAAAGTGTCCGAAGTGTTAGAGAAGGTGGATATTCGGGTGGGAAAGGTGGTGAGTGAATTGAAGAGATACGTACAGAGTAGCAGCTCCAGTTTAGAGCTATCAGAGAAAGAGAGTCCAGAAGAACATCAGTTAGTTCTGAGAAAATTACTGTTAGAAGGGGAATTTTGGGGAAATATGTTGAACAACCTGGAGGAACTGAAAGCAAACGAGCTTACTGGTAGTTTCTTATGTGAAATGGCAGAGAACGCATTCGTGGAAAAGAAAATGTTGCTTTTAGCACACGGTCTCATCCATCTGTCTGGGGCACAGCAGCCTGAGATGGGCTTGGAACTTGTTAACGATCTTAACAGAGCTTCTGCAGTAGACGAGGTAGGGAAGAAACAGAAAGGAAATCATGGGAAGGAGGAAACCATGCACAATTATCAGGGAGACACGGAAGTGAAAAATAAGGAAGACCTTTTAAATTTGTATAATTGGCTTGATAATGACACGGATAACGTAGTAAGGAAGGGTCTTATCCAGATTCTGCAGAGAAAAGTTTCTCTGTTGACCCACATTGCCTCCGCCATTCAGTCCTCTTCAGATGACGAGCTCGTGGCTCTGGGTTTGAGACTGTTTGATGGCTTAGACTTCAGAAGCCAAAAGGAGCCTTGGCTGGCCAGTCTGCAGGATGCTGTCTTGCAGGCCCAATTGTCCTATCTAATCTGTAGGTTAGATGTTCAGCATGACAAGGAACTTTCCAAGTTAAAAGAAACTGAGCCAGGAGCTGGGAGAACGAATGAAACAGACTGCAAAAACTGTGCTGAAATAAAAAGGCAAAATGAGGACTTCAAGATTAAAGTAGACACCCTGCACAAGGAGATTGCAGACCTGAGAAGCCCAATGGGTGTGGAGAACATGCCAGTGACACGCATCCAGATTGAGGGCGAGCCTATCGATTCTCTTGACAAGGCCATACAGCTGCAGGACATGGCAGCCAAACACAAGCGAGAACTCCGCGAAGTCAAGGACGCCTACGAGCTGGAAGCAGAGAAGCTCCGGCAGGAGATCGGGAAAGCAGGAGAAATCCTAAGGCTGAAATCGGAGGAGAACGTCAAGGAGATCGACTCCTTGACCGTCTGCATGGAGAACCTGAAAACGAAGCATGAGACAGAGCTGAAGAGGCAGCAGGAGAAGAGCTTGGCCGACAGGCATAGCCTGGAACAGCGGTTTGAGAACGAGATGGAGAAGCTGAAGGCGGAGCTGCACGGCAGTGGCGGTGCTGAAGAGAACAAGCCCCGCTCCATGCTGCTTCTGAAGGAACGGATCCAGGAGCTTGAGTCTCAGGTTACCGCCATGAAGGCCGAAATGGAGGACCGCAAACGTGAAGGAGACGTGTCATCTCTTCAGCAGAAATACGAGAAAGATCTGGAAAACCTGAAGGTGGAAATCTTATTGTTTCTGCTTTCTCCGTGTTGCCTTGTAACTCCGTGTGGCCCCACCTGATGTAGCTCTGCTTTCGTAACCAACAGTCCTGTAGTGTTGCATGGTGTTAACCCTGTATCTGCATGTAGTCCTTGACGTGTTTTAATGTGTACTGAGGAACCCATTTGCTCTCTCGCGTCACCACAATAAGTGTTATTCTTCCAGGTTTCCTCATCTGCAGTGGCTCGTCAAACAGAGTCCAGCTGTAGGTGCTCTCTATGAGTGTGCTTTCACTTCAGTAAGCAGGAGAGCAGGAGAAAGAAACACATATGTATGATCTTCCACACCACGCACACTGACTGCTCTTTTTAAAGCGTCCTTCTGTCCAAGGAGAGCTGCAGCTGAATTCATAGCTGCATTCAAGCACAAAATCCTCTGTTGTTCACGAAATGGGTTCCACAGAAACGATCTAGTATGCTTCCTAGCCTTACTTGTTGTACACCTGATGACCTTATGAGATCTTAAAAAGTATACAGCTGAACCCAGATTCAGCAACACCAGCGAAAGGAATTTAATCCTGAGATGTGAGAGGTCCAGAACTTTTTGTCTCCATTTTGTCTGCACTATTAGTGATCTCATTGAATCCATTACTGATTTAATTTTCCCAGTTTAACAGTATTGCTTGATATGTAGCCCTAAAGGACACCATATGTTACTAAAAGTGATTCTGCCAGGTCCAGGAATTAATGAAACTACTCTAAATCCACCATTCCATCTTTTTAAAATGCAATTGCAGACATTATATTGTGGTGTTTAGCTGTAACAAATGTTTTGGGTTCAGTTGTGTACCTTTTGAGTTGCTGTCTTTTACTAAAAAACATATGCTACCTTTAAACTCATCTTGTCTTCTAGCAGTTGTCTCCCTGTCATTAACTTGAAGACTATTAACAGAAATGCAATGGACTCACTGCAAGGTCTAACATGAAGCTGAGTACTAACTGCAGTGGCTGAACTAGCACTGAATCAAAGCTGGTTAAGTGTTGAAATTTTAAGAAATGCAAAACCATATCCAAAGATGGCACTTACTGTACAACACTGAATTATTTAACACCTTCAATCATGAGTTTGTCTAGTAGTCCATAGCTATTCTAGGCTCTTTTTCACAAATGAGAAAAGGAGATGAAGTTTCTGAAAGGTTTTTGCTGCTTCTTTTTGCAGTAGGTCAGTCGTGGGGAACACAAAACTACTTTTGAGCATAATAATGAGAGTCTTTTTATTTGTTAAATTTTATTGATGCTTTAATATTCTTCATAGACAAGTAGAATATTTTCCACTGTCAAGAACAGAACAAGTTTTAATTTAATTCTGAATGGAGTGTTGAAGGGTTTTTTTGGCCTAGTTTGGCCTACACACTGACGCTTTGGTTAAAAAGGATGTCTTATTGATGCAAAGAGGTTTGCCAACTGCCCAGATGTGCAGATGCATCACTTTCAGGTGTGACTGAAATACTGTCACATCACCTCTTTACCTCTATGAAGTTCACATCTGTGACCTCTGTAGTGTTGGGCAACAGCAGATGACGTCAGATTTGCAGTAGTCCACTATCCAGTTTTTGATCATATGCCCTGTGGTAATGCCATTTAGCTCGGATGGTCAAAACCTTAAAATGCTCAGAATGTAGCCCGTTTTTTCTGTAGCCTGTGCCGATTCCCCTTTTTCAGGTGTCATGAAAACAAAAGGGCACACTTTTCCAAAATATCCCTTAAGGAGTACAGCAGCTGAGCTTTACTGCGGCTTTTAACTGCATTTTTTAAGACTAAAAAATACTGCTTCCCTGTAGTCGTGCATTTTTGATTTTCAGGTACTAGTTTCAGGTATATGCATGAGTTTCTGCCTATTTACATATACCTTACTTATGCAACAGTGAGCTGTTTATTTCAGCTTACAAGATGGAAGTGAATTCTTTAGGTTCAGGTGTTAAGGGTGGTGGGAGTGTGGAGTATGCTCCCAGGCCATGATGTAGAACCCGATATCCTGGCTTCTTTCAAGAAATATCTGAACACGATGCTCATGTCAATTAGCTGCTCATAACTAAAAGAGATCAACTGATCTTTCTTCTCTTATTTGTATCCTATCTTATGGTTAATTTGTTATTGTTGAAAGTCCGAAGTTGAGATAAATTGCAGTGAAATCGCTGTTCTACAGGTATGTTGTGGTTTGTACTGTCTATGCTGTAGTTCATTGGTTTCAGTGGTTTCTCAGGCAGTTTGCTAGCATAGTGTTTTCTATAAGGGTGGAGTATTGTTATTGATTGAGCTGTATTGGTTGTGAAATAATACTTATGTGTTTTGCTGTGAAAATCAATTCAGAGTGAGGTGCTCATAATTGTCTGATTGGGAGGGGTTAGTGGATGAAATTATTATTTTTTTCAATTGTGCCCGAAACATATTCTGTGTAATCAGAAGTCTTCTGTCGGTTCTCTGTGAGCTTTTAAGAGCTTTGCAGTGCAGATGTGGTTCTGTGAGAAGCCACAGGTGTCACAATGCTGTTCAGATGGGAGAGAGGGTAGCTCGTAAAAAGAATCATACATGCAAGCATTCCCAAACCTGGCCAAACTGTCAGAGCATATATCAGATGCTTGTTTTGTCACATTCATGAAGAGTTCGGTTATGTTGTTTGGGATCAGATGACAAGAGACGTCGTGTGGACCTGCTTCCGTTTCATTGTACCCATTTCAAGGACCTTGGAAATAATTCTAAAACCGAAACATGTAATTGGAATTTAATGTTTCCCAGTGCAAGCTTGTTCATAATTAAAAGGCTGATCTTTTTAATGACGTAGTTTCTTTCCTGACTCCAATTTGTTGTGCTGTACAAAATGGGTATTATAGTTTGGTAGAACATTTCAGTGAAGTCTTTCTGGTTGCCTCAAGCCAACTACAGTCCAGGAAGCAAAGGGCAGTGCAATGAAAAAAGAAAAGTAGTGCATAAAAGGGAAACTTTTCTCTCACTAAAGCTGCAAGTGAACTCTATATTTTGTGTTGCATATCCGCAACATTTAGTTTGTAGATTTCTTGGTTAGACTCCTCGTTAGGAAACGTTTCTGAGTTCAGGCAGGCTAACAGGGTGGTTATGAAGCCCTCTGAGGTAAATGTCCTTCTCGGCTCATCCAGTTTACTTGAATTCCACTGGATGGGCCGATAGTTTTGTGAGCCTGAGAATGGTAGCTTGGCACAGTTAGACTCTGCATTGTTGTCAATTTTTTTTCTCAGAGCTGATGGCAACCATCTTGTGCTCCTTGGAAAGACTACAAAGTACACACCTGTGACACACACATATGTCAATATGCATCTTTGTAACTGAATTCCTTAGCTTTTTGTAGTAGGTGAATAAAAAAACATCTGAGTGTCCTCCCACAGCTTAACCCTCTCAGTGTCTGCGTTGTGGATTTTGTGGAGTTGTTTTTTTTTGTCAAGGCCATGTTTTCACGTCGGCACAGTGCACATTAGTCGTGGTGTTTTTCTGTGGGCGCACAGCAGCAGATGTTGCCTTGAACCGGAGTCTGGTTGCTATCATCCCATGCAGGCCACGTGTGAGCGGGGCTTCGCCGCCATGGAGGAGTCCCACCAGAAGGTGATTGAAGAGCTGCAGAGGAAGCACCAGCGCGAGCTGGAGAATCTGAAGGAGGAGAAGGAGAGGCTGCTGGCAGAGGAGACGGCCGCCACAATTGCCGGTGAGGGCTCCCAGCACTTACAGTGGTGCTAGAAAGCTGGTGAACCCTTTAGAATTTTCTGACTTTCTGCATAAATCTGACCTAAAATGTGATCAGATCTTCAACTAAGTCATAAAAAGTGGATGATTAGAACCCAATAAAACAAACAGAACACAAAAGGATATGCTTTTTCATTCATTCATTACATCAGAATGATCCAACATTAAATGTCTCACAAACTTTCTAGCACCACTGTAGTTCCCTCACTGCCGTGCTTCCTGATTCCTTCGTAGTTCTTTCTCTGGAGTTTGAGACTTCAGTCCTGTGTTTTATTGCTCTTTCTTTCTAAAAATGACTACTCTTGTGTGAAGAAGCAAAGTACAGGGCTAAACCACTGCACAGACAGGCAAAGACAGGCATCATAGCCAACATAAAACAGCTGCTTGCTATCTGAAGCTCAAGCACAGGTCCTCTGTTTCACAGCTGTTCAGCTTTGGTTTACAATATTGTAATGTTTATTTTTGAAAAAAGGGAAAGATAACAGAGCTGCAAACATGACCCTGTGGCCAAGTAATAGTTACAGATGATTGATTAGAGCGATTTGTCCTGTGATTTTCATGTGAACTGGCTGTCAAAGTGAGAGCTGTGCAAGGAAATGAAAATGGCTTTTAATTACAGACAAATCTGTGGCTGATTATGGCCCATGGGTAACATCTGACATCTAGATGGTATTTAGAATCCCTTTCTTCCCTCTGCGCAGGTGTATCCCTCTTTTTCCTCACCACAAAGGACTAGTGAATCAGTAATTGATGTAATTTTACCTGTTCTTTGGTTTTCAGTGTTGACCATCTCTGGCAGTGTCATTCTAAAATTAGCATTTTAAACTGCTCTGGTAATATTGTTTTTCTAGCCCCACAGTAATACCCACTGTGTATTGAGATCTTAAAAAGAGCTGGTTAAGTGTGTACGTTCTCTTAAATCTGATTAACTTGGCACCTTTGGTGCTTTTTATCATATACTAATGCGCCGTGTGAAGTTCAGGGTATTTGTATCTCATCTTGATTTGAACACTGTTTCAAGGAATAAAATAAAACTAGTCATCTTCAAACAGTGCAATAATAAATAGTTCCAGGGGTTTGAAGAATGTCTATAAAGTCAAACCTCTAGTCTATTTCATGGGAAGCACCTTTATCGGGGACATTCTTGCCCTGCGGGGTAATGTACCTCTTTAAAGTGGCCTTGGCAATACATGAATGCATGAACCCCGAGAGTATCCTAAACCAACAGGTGGTTGCCATTCTCAGCAAGCTGTTTTCTCTTTTATATTACAGCAATCGAAGCAATGAAAAACGCACACCGCACTGAGCTTGAAAGAGAGTTAGATAAAGCACGTAAAGCCAACAGCAACACAGAAAATGCCGACATCGAAGAGATCCGCCTACAGCACGAGTAAGTATCTTCAGTAATTTCATCGTGCAGACTTGTATAGTCATTTCAAGCTCAATTCCCTAAGTCTCATGATTGCAGCACTGAATTCCTATTTCATATAAAAGTGGAGATTATTCTCTTAATTGCTCGTGATGAGCGTATCTCGACAAGCAACGGTCACAAGGCAGGATACACCCTGTCCATCACAGGGCAGACACACACGCACACACTAACATCATGGCCAGTTTTCCAGAAGGGAACTAACCGACCAGTATGTCTTTGGACTATGGGAGGGAACTGGAACACCTGTAGTAAACCCGTGCAAAGAGTGAACATACAAACTGCATGCAAATAGCACCCCAGAAATTGAACCAGGGCCCCAGCAATGCTAAACACTGTGGCACTGTGCTGCCTATGGTCAAGATCATTCAAGTAAATGTGTGTGGCTTTTTATGTCTGATCAGGTCACTTATGCTGTAGTTTCCAAGGTCTCATTTTGAGTAGTTTGAAGTTTGAATACTTTGAAATTGAAACCTTGAATTGTTTGACAAGTCAAACTATTATTTCATAAATGTATCTACTATCGTTCTTTTACTAGTGTATTCCTAGAGACAAATGTAGTTATTTCAGCAGCTTGACAGAAGCAGTGAATATTATATCCAACTGCTCTGAACATGTTCTGTCATGTGCTGAAGGATATTTTCGACGTATCTCAAACTCAAGAGAGGATGCATAGAAACACTGGAATTTTCTACTATTGTTTCCCGTTTCAACAAAAATAAGATGTAAGTTACCAAGACATCTGGTAATCATAAGTAAATCAACACAATTTTTTGCCCAGGAACAAAATTCTTATTTCCTTTTGTTCCAAGAAACTTTTAGTTTATTTTTCGGCTTCTCTTTTTCCCAGAGCTTCTATGGTATCCTAGCAACATATCAAATTACAGTACAGCCATACAGTACTGTGTCCAACTAAGCAGACTTCCGAGCAAGATACATATAAAAGCTAAGCAGTGATTTTGAAAAGTTTATGAATGCTAAATTAAGGTAATCACTTAACTCGATGGAGTGGTAAGCATTTAAGAGTGCTTCAAGTAAGAACATTTATAAATACAGGCCTGGGAGCCTAAATTTTTATTTCCATATGGAAGTATTTTATAACACTTACTGCATGATTTTTCCATCTGGAGCTGCAGGGTTGAAGTAGATTAGCACCCAGGATCTGAATGTGAGGAGGTATCTGTTACTGAAGTGCATCTTGATCTTTCAGCAGTGATGGGCACAGATGCCTGTCTTGCAACTTAATCCCATATTTTGCATGTGCATAAACTGACCTGGTGGTCAAATTATGGAAGTAAAGCTGAGTGGCCTCAGGGAGTGGGCCAGACGTGGGCCTGAATTCTGGCTCCACCTGGTGAGAACGGGGGTATTGTAGACAAACCTCATTAGCATTGTTATCGTAAAATGTCAGAGGAAATTTCTGCTTGATACTTTGTGGAGTTGAAGTCAGATTGAATGAGAGGATTCAGGCAAAAGGACGAACCTGGTGATTGAGTGTTAACTGTTTTTGTAGTGCCAGTTTTAATAAACTAGAGCTCATGGGTGCACTTGACTGCCCTGATAGTGCAAAGCCAGAGTTTCATGCTGAAACAACACTCTTGACTCTAGCACTGTCTAGCCAAGGTGTCTGAACTCTGCTCCTCATTAGTAGTTGAATAATGCACTGAAAAGGAGAAAATGAAACTGCATGAAAGTAAGGAGTTTTCACCCAGGGGCTGTAAGACCATTTTAACAACGTGACTGTGAAGTTGAATGGATGAGGCGGTTTTTCTGTAGATCAGTGGTAAGATTCCTCTCAGATGGATGTCAAAGATATGAAAAATGTCAAAGGTGCTAACAATAGCAAAGTTATCAAATCATTGCACCCATCGAGTATTGAAAGTGGAACAGCTGTTTTTTTCCTAAATTTCCTTTTAAGTATTGTGTTTAAGGGTGTCTAGTGAGCCTAGGGGCATGTTGGGACACAGGTTTGGCCCCTGACATTGCTTGTGTTCATGAGGGAGTTGTTAATTCTGTACAGAAGATGATTAAATCTTAATTTTTCTCACCTTTTGTTCTGTGTCCGCTGGAATCTGTAACCACTGTATGTTGTGATTGTAGCATCTTCCTCAATGTGCCCCATAAAATATGAGGGATTCTGGTGAAACCAGGCCTCTGACTCTCCAGTTACATCACCATTAAATGTGCAAGTGTTCTGCACTCTCAGTGTGAAGCAGATGAGTGTTAAGAGCTGAAAGAAATACACTACCCTCTCTCAAATTCTTTTTCCTACTCTTTGCTAGCTGTTCCTCAACAGCTTTCTTCCTTCTCAAAACCATTAATCGGCTATTAAACCATTAATGTTGATTGCAGCATGACGACTGTTAACAGAAATAATACCACATTTTAACAACTTTAAGTGTAACTGGTAGAATCTATAGTGTATGGCTGAACCATGTTTGGACAGGTGAATTTCATTTTAAGCCTAAAGAACAGTGTTTTGTGTTTTTGAAGTAAAACCACAGCATTCATTTTTAATAATCCTACAACATTATGATTATTGCAATATTCAGAACCTTCTATATGTTCATTTTTTTCACTTAAAGTAACATACTGCTGGCGATTATGAAAAGCTCCTATGTGACGGACTGGCTATTAGCAGCTTCACGGTGTTTGTTTAACACAAGGGCTATATAAGTGCTCTCTGTTCTTGGCTTCCAGGGAGGAGTTGGCATCTTTCCAGCGAGAGATTGAGGTCCTGTCAGAGCAGTATTCCCAGAAGTGCCTGGAGAATGCCCATCTTGCCCAGGCCTTAGAGGCCGAGCGCCAGGCCCTGAGACAGTGCCAGCGGGAGAACCAGGAGCTAAACGCACACAATCAGGTATGCATGGCTCTGGAGACTCTGCTGTGGACACAGTCATGATATTCTCTGTGTAAAGCCTCCCGGAACACTTGAAAAATCGGCAAGAACACATATTGGGCCAAACAGACCTTTCTCATGATAATTCTAGTTAATAGTTTTCCTTCAGCTATCTGGCAGGCCTCATTCCCTTTTGTCCCTTACTGTGAAGGTTTTGTGTCTAACTTTTTCATTTCTGATAGCTGTGCCTGCCTTTACATCTGCAGTTCACCCTCATTTTCTCATCTGTGGTTTCCTATCCTAGGTAATGTCTCAGTTTGAAGAGCTGGTTTTGCTTTTATTTGCACAGTGCCCATTTGATGAAAACATTCAGTTGTGTCGCCATGTTTTTATTCCAAATATAATAGTCATATAAGAGAAGTCAAGACAAAACAGCTTGCATTAATGGCTTTTTCTAAAACAGAGAGATTGGCATTTTTACTCAGACTAGAGCCTTCTTCTGTGCAATGAGAGGCTCCTTCTTGCAAAGGAATAAAATTAAGACCCATTGATCACCAATTCTTAGGTTTAATCAAATAATAGAATTGGGTTAGAATCTGTTAGGACATTAATGAGTAGATCAGTGTGTGCTACTGGCCGACAGGCACAACTGCAGGCGGTCTCTCTGCTCAGCCCCTGCCCACGAGTGGGGAAAAAACACAGAATAACATGGAAAAACTCTACCGAAGTGCACAGTTCTTTCCGGAGGTTTCCTGGGGTTTAAAATAAAACGTCGGATGTTGCAGGAGCTGAATAATCGCCTGGCAGCGGAGATAACCAAGCTGAGGTCAATGGTGACCAGTGAGGACGGCGGCGACAGCTGTACGCTTATACACGGCAAGGAGGTGTACGAGCTGGAGGTGAGAGGCATTCTGCTTTCCTGCACATCTGAACACACTACTGTCTGTTTGTGCCAGAATTGAATTCAGTCAATTTCAGTCTTTTTTTTAATATACAATTAAACAATCTATTTTTATTTCAGGGTAGCTTGATCACACTTTTACAATTATTGCAGTTTAAATCCAAAAAAGCCAGCACACTGCTTGCTGTTATTTCCTGGAGAGCAGGAAGTGCACTCAGAACAGTGTGGGTTGGCTCAAGCCCGAGCACAGGCAGAGCTCTGTGATTGTGGGTTCGAGCCTGGGTTGTGTCGCAAGCTGACTGTGACTACGCTTTCCTCTGCGGTGGCGCAAACTTGGGTGAGCCCAGCCAAGGGGTAGGGCAGGATTCATCAGCCACGGATTTGGGATCTGTCACACAGCCACCCCCGAGACCTCCTGGGCACTTGCAGGCATGCAGTGCTGTGAGTGAGGAATGTGCTGCTAATCCTGTCGACACTGAACCTATGTGACTTGTTAAGAGGCAAGTGTCTCAAAGACCGGCGGGTGGGAGGAGTCGGCCCAGACCTGAAAAACACAATTGGCTGTTCTGGCTGAAAAGGAAAAGAAAACTGTGGCTGACAAATCTCCCTCTGCTCAGCCCAGCTGAGTGTGTCAGACTGAACATGTTATTGAGCACTGTCTTAGTGGAGTTCCTGAATCACAGCCACAACTGAGCAGCCCTCCCCAGAACTGGCTAATGTTTTCAGAAACACACAGGCAGGAAACACAGGAATGATTGTGTATAAAACCAGGCTTTACACAAACAAATCCAGGGTGTTTTTGAAAGTG